GTGCTACGTATGCCTGGTCACCGCTTACCTATGAAGGCCTTGTTCAGTCTACCAGGTGAAGGTTGGCGCAAGGATCAAGGTGGACAGAAGTTGAGTTGGCAGCGGAAAATGAAGTCATTGATGACCAAACTGCGTGCCGTTGGTCCGTCTCACCTGCCGGGCTGGAGTCCACGTGCCTCGCCTTGTGCTTCGCTTCAGGCTTTACAGGACATTGCTTGCAACCGATACCAGTGGCGCGTCTGCTGCCGTCTCGTAATCGGATTACCTGTTTAAAGTGTGTTTGGTGCTGAGTTATCTGCGGGGTAATGGCTGATTATGACGCGGAGCGGTGAAAGCCGCAAGGAAGCTGGCTCGCCGATGCCGCCTTATCTTTGCACGATAGCCAGTATGCTGTCTACGCAAGGTGTAGGCGCCTTGACCCTGAATGTTTGCTTAGGGCATTAAGGTTTTCAGGTAAGTCCCTCTTCTCTCACTCTTGTTATTCTTTATTTTATGGGTCATCATGGTTGTATGGCAGCGAAGCATCAGGTCAAATGGCTGATGTATTGCTGTTGTTGATCTGTTGATAATTGGAGCAGGTATCACCTAAGATAACTTGAACGCCCCGGCCATTCAGAAAGTAAAGAATCAAAAAATCTTCCCAGAAACACCAACCCCCGGAGTTCGGGACGTCCGTTAGGAACTTTGTCAAATGCCCTGCTGAAATCTACGAAAACAACTAGGCGATTGACGGCATACAGAGATCTCGTCCATTTCTCTTTAGCAACAAAGAAATTAGAGATACGGAAACGTACCTTGTGAAAACGAACTTGAGCACATGAGAGAGTGCGCAGGTTATCTAGGGCTCGTTTAAGAATTCTTTCTGTGAGTTCGCAAAGTACCGATGTCAGATAAATCAGCCCCAAGTTTGCAGGATGCTGAAGATATCTTCCCTTGTATATAGGTCACCGCATCTGATTTCTAAGCCATTGGGAGTCGTCCGGAAAGTATGAAGCGGCAAAAACTTGGAAAACAGGAGAAGCAATGTGCTCCGCAATCGTCTTGACGAATAAAAAGTGCAAATAATCGAGTCAGTGAAGAATTCTGATTTAATTCAAGTAGTTTCATAACGAAGTCGTCACTGATCCCTATATGCTCTAATGTAGAGGGATGTGGTGACAGTCACTGTACAATAGAGCTTCAGTGAAAAAGACGAAAGTATGCTGTAAAGCCACATGACTGGCATTTGCATCATTTTCATTAGGCATGGTATTAGTCTTGCTACAGTACAGAACAGGTACCTCATACTCAGCTTTTGAAATCCTTTTACAGATTCGAGAAAAGTAGCTTGGGAGTAGTCTTGAATATTTCCGCCAAATGAAGTTTATAGCATTATCGTTTCTTGCGTTTGGTTAGGTTGTAAAAGTTCCTAACTGCCTTTTGTTCTAGTAGTCCAAGGCCGATTTTGTAGACTTAAACCTACCCCATATGCTGCGTTTATTGTTCATAAGGATCCCTGACTCAGAATCGATCCAAGCATGGCCTCCGGAAGAATGATTTCTTCTGGAAATAGGGATGACTTGACCAATGGGTGACATCAAGTTTGTGTATAAAAAGCTCTAGGCTTCGTCAACGACCAGGTGCTCGGGAATTCTCCGGTCCACGAAACTTGCAGCAACTCTCAGACGGTGTGGATTCACATGCCAGAAGCTTCGACGGTACACACTCCGGTCATGAATGGTGAGACGGTTTTTCCACACAAACGAAACTACACAACGATCACTTTGGCCAATAGGTTGTAGGACAGTCGCTTGGGATACATATGAGTATGCCGGTGAGAGTACGATGTCTTAGATGTGTGGAGCCTGACCAGGATATAGTCTAGTAGGCGCTGCAACATGCTGGATCATAGGACAAGTGAGAACAGTTTCGATGAGAAGAGAATCTAAAGAATCCAGAGACAGCATACAATGGAGCAGATCCCGATTAATATTCTCCCGTTATCCGAGTCTCTGTCTATGCCATGCTTCTTTATCGACTCTTGCAAGCAAGCTCCGGAACGAACAGGTGCTGTATAAATGACACCAACCATGGGAAATCTGAACCCATCACGAAGTCGACACCACAAAAGCTCAGAAGAAGCAGTATTGTCACAGACCGCTTCTACAGGATAAGCACTGAGGCCCTCTTGCCAGTACAGAATCAAACCAACACTAGACTTCACTTCAGAGCTGTCGGCCAGAGAAAAGTGATATCCCAAAATGTGAACCTCTGAGTCCAAGATGACCGAAGATAACCAAGTCTCTGTGAAGGTCAACAAATCTGGTTGTTTCTCTGGAGCAAAAAGTCGAATTGCACCAGGTGTGTTTCTTAATCTACTCAAATTAGCAGAGATCATTTGTAGCCCATTCGTTAATCTTGCTGCCTGGGCATGAGGAAGATAAATTGCCATCGAACTGTGTGCTTTCTGTACCACGTGGAAAATAATTCCACCATTTATCCGGCGTCTTTGTAGCTCCTCAATAGCGCTCTTGATTCGGACCAAATCTTCTGGGGACAGGTCTCTCAGTACATGAAAGGATTGCGCCTTGAGACGTGAGGTCCATCTGAGAACGCGACGGTATTCATCTTCACTCTGGCAGAAAACTTTGAGAGGGCGAGTTTCCGAGCAGTCTTATTGCTTCCTACCGAGACCAAAGCAATACCGATCTCCCTCTTGCCCTCATAAAAAGCGTGGAGATAACTCCTTCTAGAAAACAATGATCGTCTATCATTCTAGCAGGCGCAATATCTTTAACAGAAGTAGAAGCATCGATCCCGATCTGTTTTGTTCTCATGAACCGGCGGGTTAGGAAGCGGATTGTCCTTACTCACCCTTTAGAAGTGGCACACTGTCAATAACCTGCTTCCGCTGGGAATGAGAAAGGGTGGGCTTTGGTCCGGACTTAGCAACGCTTCGGAGATTTTTCCTTGAATAATTGCGCTCCAGTTAACGGAGGCTGGAGCTGCGCCGTCGCTAACAACTGTTGCATATATTTGGGGTTTAACGTCGCTGCTGTTGCCAGTAAAGGCAAACGTATCCGAAACCAGTTATAATCTTCGCACC